TCCCCCCTGATGACTCGCGTTGACTTGAGAGTGCTGCTCTCACTCATCCGCAGCACCCCAGATTCTGATAGCATCGCCTGCCATAACGTGTAAGGATATGATGTGAACATGTGAGAGGGGTTGACTTTTGTTGACTTTACCGTGCTGCTCTCACTCATCCTCAGTGGCCAAAATTCCAAGAGCTTCGCCTGCAGGACTGCATGCAAGGTGGATCAAGCAAATGGAAGGAAGTGATTGATTTCCATCGCATATGCTTCTGTTGACTTGACTCGTGTTGACTTCATTGTGCTGCGCTCACTCATCCGCAGCAGCCCAAAGTCTGACAGCTTTGCACGGTGGATGGCACTCAGCGCTCACACACTGTACAGAAATGCACGGTCCATACGACAGATGAGCACGAGGAGGAGTTGACTTTCACGTCCTCCCGTTGACTTGTGTTGAATTCTCAATTCACCACGTGAATCAGACAGCTGGGAGGACCTTTGGGAGGAGGGAGGTATGACGGCTTTATTCTGCTGCTTGCACGCTTCATCAACAGCCCAAAACCTAGTGTCTTGGCATGTTCCAGGGGGGTTTGGAAGTGTCCCTGTAACCCCCCTAGAACATGCATGGATCCGACTGGCGTCACCGTTACGACGGCCTTTTCGATCGAACGGCTCACCAGCAAGATTGAAATCAGCAAAGGCAAGAAAACTGGTTCGGACGTTTTAGAAACAAAGAGCCCACGTGCATGCTGCTGCCAGCACACCTGTATGAAGTGAATTTTTGAGACGTCTCAAACAGCCCACGTGCATGCTACTGCCAGCACACTGCTCACTGTCACCTGCATGCTCTTATCCAGTAGGGTACATGTTCCCCGGCTTGATGTCTCGATGCTTAATGCCATGCCACAGCCATGCAGGCAAGGCAACGATGGTGACTCAAGGCACCCATGCATGCCACCCACCCACCTGGTACAGCACAAGGCAGCTGCCACCCACCCACCTGCATGCTCTTCTATCCCCGGCTTGATGCCGCGATGCATGCAGCGTTCTTCACGGCACCTCAAACCATTTGAGACGACTTTTGACGCGCCTTAAAAGCACAAACAGAAGGAGCCCACCTGCATGCTCTTGTCCAGCAGGATGTTGCACGATTTCAAAGCCACAGGTAACTCTAAACAGAGCCCACACTACAAGCATGCTGACACAGCACAAGAAAACTCCCACCCACCTGCATGCTCTTGTCCAGCAGGATGTTGCCCGGCTTGATGTCGCGATGCACGATGTTGCGATGGCACCCACTCAGAAAAATCAAGAACACTACTTTGAAGGTTGAAGCAGAAGGAGCCCACCTGCATGGCCTTGTCCAGCAGGATGTTCCCCGGCTTGATGTCGCGATGCACGATGTCAAACCCATGCAGGTACGCCAACCCTTGCGCCACTGACAGCAGTGTGTCCAGGAGCTGAACCGCTGTCAGGTGCTTGCCGCCTGGTGGTTGCGGGGAGGAGGATGGGGAAATGCGCAGCCTTGAAGGGAGGTGTTACATCCATGCAGGTACGCCAGGCCCTGCGCCACCGACAGCAGTGTGTCCAGGAGCTGGAGTGCTCTGAGGTGCTTGCCGCCTGGTGGTGGGGAGGAGGAGGAGGAAAGGGATCAGCTGTCTTGTCATGAGAGATACCAAACGCCATGCAGGTACGCCAGGCCCTGCGCCAATGATACCAGCGTGTCAAGCGGCTGAACTACTGTCAGGGACTTTCCTCCTGGTAGCAATTGGCAGGAGGAAGGGGAAGACTTTTGAGACGTCTCAGAACGGGAAGTATGCGTGTGTCCCGATCTGCTCCATGCGCTGGGAGTGTGGGTTGCACTCACTAACTCCCTCAATAATCCCCTCACACCTGCCGTCCCTCACACCTGCCGTCCCTCACACCTGCCGTCCCTCACACCTGCCGTCCCTCACACCTGCCGTCCCTCACACCTGCCGTCCCTCACACCTGCCGTCCCTCACACCTGCCGTCCCTCACACCTGCCGTCCCTCACACCTGCCGTCCCTCACACCTGCCGTCCCTCACACCTGCCGTCCCTCACACCTGCCGTCCCTCACACCTGCCGTCCCTCACACCTGCCGTCCCTCACACCTGCCGTCCCTCACACCTGCCGTCCCTCACACCTGCCGTCCCTCACACCTGCCGTCCCTCACACCTGCCGTCCCTCACACCTGCCGTCCCTCACACCTGCGGTCCCTCAGACCTGCCGTCTCTCACACCTTCCGTCCCTCACACCTTCCGCCCCTCACACCTTCCCTCCTTCACTCCTTCCCTCCCTGACTCCTACCCACTTCATTCTAACCTGGTTTGGTCCGCTGAGAAAGGTCTCCATTATCCACGAACTCATATATCACGATCTGCTTCATGCGCTGTGCACTCCTCCCACTCGCTCCACTCCTCCCTCCCCCTCTCACCTGGTTTGGTCCACTGAGACAGGTCTCCATTATCCATGAACTCATATATCACGATCTGTTCCATGCGCTGTGTGCGCGGGTTGTAGTCACTCCGTCCCTTCCCTCCCTTCATCCGTACCTTCTTTGGTCCACTGAGACAGGTCTCCATTGTCCATGAACTCATAGATCACGATCTGCTCCATGCGCTGTGTGCGCGGGTTGTAGTCGTGACAGAACCCCAGCAGCCGCACCAGGCACGGATGGTTCTTGCTCGCCATGTGCTCGATCTGCCAGAGCGGTAGGGGAGAGGTAGGGGTCAGTGAGGGAGAGTGAGAGTGGGGGAGTGTGGAGAGACAGGGAATGTGCTCGATCTGGCAGAGCGGTAGGGGAGAGAGAGGGAGAGTGATTGGCGAGACAGGAATACAGGAGATACAGGGAGAGGGGAGAGACAGGGAGAGTCGTGACAGGTTATGTGTGCAGGTTATGTGTGCAGGTTATGTGTGCAGGTTATGTGTGCAGGTTATGTGTGCAGGTTATGTGTGTGCAGGTTATGTGTGCAGGTTATGTGTGCTTGCTCGCCGTCTGCTCAATCTGCCAGGAAGGCCGATAAGGGGGGAGAGCGACAGAGAGAGTGGTTGATTTGTGTGCTCGATCTGCCAGGGGGGAAGATGGTAGGGAAGGTGAGAGAGAAGAAGGGTGATTGGTGGGACAGGGAGATAAGAGAGACTGGGAGGCAGGGGCGGTTCTCACCTCTTTCAGAAAGTCGTTTGTGAGCACGCGTGCTCTCTTCACCACCCAGAGCACACTGGGATCATCCGGCGATGCCCCTTTGAGCAACCCTACATCCTGTCAGCACTTTTGAGTCGACTCAAAAGTCACCCAGAGCACACTGGGATCATACGGCGACGCCCCTTTGAGCAACCCTACATCCTGTCAGCACTTTTGAGTCGACTCAAAAGTCACCCAGAGCACACTGGGATCATACGGCGACGCCCCTTTGAGCAACCCTACATCCTGTCAGCACTTTTGAGTCGACTCAAAAGTCACCCAGAGCACACTGGGATCATACGGCGACGCCCCTTTGAGCAACCCTACATCCTGTCAGCACTTTTGAGTCGACTCAAAAGTCACCCAGAGCACACTGGGATCATACGGCGACGCCCCTTTGAGCAACCCTACATCCTGTCAGCACTTTTGAGTCGACTCAAAAGTCACCCAGAGCACACTGGGATCATACGGCGACGCCCCTTTGAGCAACCCTACATCCTGTCAGCACTTTTGAGTCGACTCAAAAGTCACCCAGAGCACACTGGGATCATACGGCGACGCCCCTTTGAGCAACCCTACATCCTGTCAGCACTTTTGAGTCGACTCAAAAGTCACCCAGAGCACACTGGGATCATCCGGCGACGCCCCTTTGAGCAACCCTACATCCTGTCAGCACTTTTGAGTCGACTCAAAAGTCACCCAGAGCACACTGGGATCATCCGGCGACGCCCATTTGAGCAACCCTACATCCTGTCAGCACTGGCCAACCAACCACTTTCAAAAAGTCGTTTGTGAGCATGCGTGCTCGCTTCACGGCCCAGAACACAGTGGGGTCGTACGGTGATGCCCCCTTAAACACGTCTCGATAGCCCCCCGTGCCGATGCGGTGCCCACAGCCCCTACATCCTGTCAACACCCACCTCTTTCAAAAAGTCGTTTGTGAGCACGCGTGCCCGCTTCACGGCCCAGAACACAGTCGGGTCATACGGCGAGGCTCCCTTGAACACGTCTCCAAAGCCCCCCGTGCCGATGCGGTTCCGCGAGGACCAATCGGCTGTGGCCCTCCGCATGTCCTCTATTGAGTACTGCTGGCAGTCTATTGGCTCCTCTCCCTCTCCAACAGCAACCGTGAAGGGTGATGGGCCTGGGAGGGGTGGAGGAGGGGAGGGGTGGGGACAGACAAGACTGCGAGATTCTTTTTCTCCGTGCTGATGCAATTCCGCGATGACCAGTCTGCTGTGGCCCACCGCATGTCCTCTGTGGAATACTGCTGGCAGTCGATTGGTTCTTCTCCCTCCCCCACTGCCACTGTGAACGGGGATGGGCCTGTGCAGGTGGAAGGCAGGGGGTAAAAGCAGTGGGTAGGGGCAGAGGGCGGGGACAGGGACACGGGGGGTGAGGTGCGGTTCCGCGAGGACCAGTCTGCTGTGGCCCTCCGCACGTCCTCTATGGAGTACTGCTGGCGGTCCATTGGCTCTTCCCCCTCCCCAACAGCGATGGTGAAGGGTGATGGGCCTGGGAAAAGGCAGAGGAGGGGAGAGGTGGGGACAGAGACATAAGGCAGGCGCACTGAGAAAGATGAGGCTTGTAGAGGACCATCGGCTGTGGCCCGCCGCATGTCCTCTATGGAGCATTGTTGGCAGTCTAACGGGCTCCTCTCCCTCCCCCAATGCTACTGTGAAGGGGGATGCACACACACACACAGCAGCAGCAGCAGCAGCAGCAGCAGCAGCAGCAGCAGCAGCAGCAGCAGCAGCAGCAGCAGCAGCAGCAGCAGCAGCAGCAGCATGCACTCACGCATGCACACACACTCTCACCTTTCTTCTCCCCGTGCTCCCGTCTCCTCCACCACCACAGCACCGCCCACAGCAGCAGCAGCAGCAGCAGCCACTGCCACCGCCACCCCAACAATGAGTCCGGTAGACGCAGAGGAGGAACCTGAGAGTTGTGAGGGGTCGGTGGGCGAAGGAGCGGCTGCAGGGGAGGGCATAGGGGTAGATGGGGGAACAAGGGGAGGAGAGCAGTGGATTGAAGATGGGGAAAGAACCAGAGCAGCAGAAGCATCAGCAACAGCAGCCATCCCAGCAGCAGCAGCACGGCCACTGCCACAGCCACCCCAACTATGAGCCCCGCAGACGCAGAGGAGGAGGAACCTGAGGGTTGTGAGGGGTCGGTGGGCAGGGTAGTGGCTGCAGGGGAGGGCACAGGGGGAGATGGGAGGACAAGGGGAGGAGAGCAGTGGAGTGAAGATGGAAAGGATGAAGGAGAGGAGCAGGAAGAAGCAGGGGCTAGGAGGAGCGCAAGAAACGGGAAAAAGGAAGGCATGGTGGTGAGTGGGATTGCATAGATGCAGCACCTGGGAGGCAGGTGGAGCAGAGGTCGGGGCACTCCCGGCAGAAGGCTGAGTTGCGAGAGACTGTGAGGGGTTTCACACACTGCTTCTGCTGTCACTGCTGATGTCATGGTGCTGCTGCTGTTGCTTTACTGCTATTGCTGCACATGGTGCATTGGTTAGCATACCTGGGAGGCAGGTGGAGCAGAGGTCTGAGCACTCCCGGCAGAAGGCTGAGTTGCGGGAGACTGTTGAGGGGTTGACCAGGGCGCACACACTGCTGCTGCTGTCGGTAGTGTTGTTGCATGTCATGCTGCTGCTTTTCATGCTGTACGAGAAAGGACGGGCGGGTGGGAAGAGCAAGAGGGGCGCGAAAATGAGTTATTGGGGAGGGGGGGGGGGGTATAGATGGAGAAATGATGCAGCGACCGTCGAGTTTTGAGAACGTCTCAGAATGAGTAATGGGGGAGGAGACAGTATAGATGGAGAAATGATGCAGCGGCTGTGTGTTGAGACGTCTCAAAACGCGGAAATGAGTAATGGGGGGGATTAGTTTAAATGGATGGAGAAATGGTGCAGCGGCTGACAATGCAAGGAAGTGAGGAAGTGGACCATCAATGATGTGAGGAAATAAGAAATGAAGCGACTGACAACGCGAGGAAGAGAATAAACAAGAAACTGACAGCATGAGGAGGAAGAAAGAGAAATGTTGAGTCAGCATGTGGAAGTGGGAAGGAAAGCTACTGACAATGTGAGGAAGTCAGACAGGCTTCCGAGAAAAGCAGGAACTGTGCCGCTGATTGCCGTGTTGCTGATGTCACTGCAAGGGCGATTGGGAGGGAGGGAGGATGGTGGGTGGAGAATAAACTGCTGCTGACAAGACGAAGATCTGCAAAGTGCGGAAAGGCGAGGAATGAAGTGAGGGGCTGGAGCGAGGTCTAAAGGAGGAAAGGGGCGGGAAGAGGGAAGGGGGGAAATGGGGAGAGAAAGAGATGAGGAGAGACGAGAGGAAGAGACACGAGGGAAGATGGGATGTGTTGTGGAATCATCATGAGAACATAACACAGGATGCACCCTTTGCAATGCTGAGTTGAATGAAATGCCTCCCACCACCCCACATGCCTCCCACCACCCCACATGCCTCCCACCACCCCACATGCCTCCCACCACCCCACATGCCCCACACCACCCTGCATGCCTGCCCGTGCCTTGCTGCTTACAGCATGGTGAGTTGACTCAGGCGGCTCAGGCTGACTGGCAGAGAGCCGTTGAGCTGAGTGGACCCGAGCTTGCTGGTGGCAGGCATGGAGGTGAAAGAGCAAGGAGGGTAGATCTTAAGAACTCTAAAAAACCTCCTCAGGCTGATTGGCAGAGAGTCGTTGAGCTGAGTGGACCCGAGCTTGTTGGTGGCACGGCGGGGCGTGGAGGGCAAAAGAGAATGGAAGGTGAAAGATCATGGAAGGTGAAAGATCGTGGAAGGTGAAAGATCATGGAAGGTGAAAGATCATGGAAGGTGAAAGACTTGCACTTAAGAAAACCAAGTCACGTTCCTTTTACGTAGACCAAAACAACAAGCCGTCTAGTCTCCGAACCGACTCAAAGCAGGCCGGCAACTCACAGGGACTCCAGGGACGTGAGGTTGCCTGTTGCCTCTGGAATGCTGCCAACCAGTCCCTCGTTGCCACCCAGACTTCTGTGTATGGCTCGCAAGGGAGGGGGAAGGGAAGGTGATAGAAATGGAGCTGAAACGATTGATTAAGAAAGAAGGCACTAGGCCTTAAGTACAAAACAGGTTGGGTTGAGCTAAGCTAGGGAAAGGGTGCGATCGGCTCCAATGGTGAGTTGGCAGAAGTGTTGGATTACGGGGGAATCCCAACCAGATAGGGTTGGGATTACAAATCTACACCCAACCCACAAATAACCTAAAGCCTATAAAATAGAGTACACAAAGTGTTGACAGCCTGTTTCTAACAGAAGGGACGTAGAAAAAAGAGGAAAGGGCAGGGGCAGGGATGTAGGGCACAAGGGAACTTGTTGAGTCGACTCAGGATAAGGGGTGGATCACACAAGGGGAGAGGCAGGGTGTGCGTATGGCTTGCTGGGTAAAGGGAGGGCGAGCAGTTGGAGGAAAGAGGGAAGGAAAAAGGAGAAGTAAAGAGGCACCTTAGAGGATCCAAAATATAAGGGGAAGTAGTGAGGGAAGGATTAAGATAGCCAGAAGCACAGGGGCACGATGAGGAGACGGCAGAAGCAGAGGAGAATGAGAAGGCATTTCCCTGTACTCACAGCTAAACCTGGCAATTGATCTGGCGAGGAATGAAGGGAGAATGGTGAGCATATGGAAGAGAGCAAGGAAGAGCATGGGGGAAGCGCCTAATGAGGCGCAAAAATCACCTCAACGCACAGGGAGAATGGTGAGCATGTGGGAGAGGGCAAGGGGGGAGCATGGGGGAAGCGGGGCGAGAGAAGCACGGAGGAAGGAGGGAGGAGAGCGAGGAGAAGGAGAGGGGCGGCACAAGGTGGTGAGGTTGGTGAGGGAGGCGAGTTGAGGCGGGATGGTAGGCACGCGGAAGGGAGCAAGGTGGGGGGGAGCAAGGTGGGGGGGAGCAAGGTGGGGGGTAGCAAGGTGGGGGGGAGCAAGGTGGGGGGGAGCAAGGTGGGGGGGAGCAAGGTGGGGGGGAGCAAGGTGGGGGGAGCAAGGTGGGGGGAGCAAGGTGGGGGGAGCATGGGGGAAGCGGGGGAGAGAGAGAAGCAAGACGAAACGAAACGCACAAGGTGGTGAGGTTGGTGAGGGAGGCGAGTTGAGGCGGGATGAGCCCTGAGAGGCGATTGCTGCTTAGATCCCTGCTCATGCGGTGAGGGCATGGGGGAGGTGCGGGCATGGGGGAGGTGCGGGCATGGGGGAGGTGAGGGCATGGGGGAGGTGCGGGCATGGGGGAGGTGCGGGCATGGGGGAGGTGAGGGCATGGGGGAGGTGCGGGCATGGGGGAGGTGCGGGCATGGGGGAGGTGAGGGCATGGGGGAGGTGAGGGCATGGGGGAGGTGAGGGCATGGGGGAGGTGAGGGCATGGGGGAGGTGAGGGCATGGGGGAGGTGAGGGCATGGGGAAAGATGCATAAAGTATGAGACAGTCAAATGGACGACCCTGTGAAGCGTTTGCTGCTCAGGTCTCTGCTCACGAGGTGCAGGCATGGGGAAGGTGCAGGCATGGGGAAGGTGCAGGCATGGGTTGTATTGTACCCGTGACCTTGGTGAGGTGGAGGAGAAGTTACCAACAGGTACAGTGCCTAGTGTGAGGGAGGGGTTGGGGTTCCCCTTCGCATGCTGGACACCAGATGAGGGGATTGGGGCCGCTTACAAGAGGGAAGCGAAGGTTGCTTACAGGAGGGAGAGGAGCTTGGCTTGGTCGATGAAAGGTGGGATGGGGCCGGAGAGTTGATTGTGGTGCAACGAGCTGATGATGGGTTGGGAGGGATAGAGAGGGGTGAAGAACGAGGGAGGAGGGGAGATGAGAGAGGGAGGCAGGAAGAGGAGGGGATAGAAGCATGAGAGGGAGGAGGGTGGGAGAGAAGGGAGAGAAGGAGGAAGTGAGTGATGGAAAGAAGCATGACGTGGCACACACGGCCTGAGGACTGCTGAAGCAAGCATGATGCATCACACGCAAACGCCTTCCCTCTTGACGGAATCGAGCTGAAACAATTCTGAATGAAAGCAACGCAATGTATGCAAGTAAGAGTGGCTGTGAAGTGGATCTGCAGCAATTGGGAGGTTCCCAAGGTTGCTGAAGCTGCTGATGCAATTGTTCGATGGACTTTTGAGTCGACACAAGTGTCATATTCGGCATTTGCAACAGCGTTCAGTCAGACTCACAACGATCGGAGGTTCACGAGGTTGCTGAAGCTGCTGGGAATGGCTCCCTCAAACGCGTTGCCACTCAAGTCCCTGCAGCCATCCAGGCCACAGTACAGCACATGTGGCAGGCACATGTTTCAACGTTCTAAAAGTCAGATCTCTGCAGGCTGCATCAACTCGTCGCATGGCGCATGTGTCACTCGCATGTGTCATGCATACATTGCATTGCAGCACTCGGATGCCTGTGATTCGAGTGCCTGTAGGTGTATGCCATGTGTTGCATACGGCGCTACTATTTAACTATGCCTTCTTTGTGCCACAGTGAATGATACATGCTGCAGAGAGAGAGAGAGAGAGTAGATTATGATGCACGTTGCATGGGAATTGTGCATGGTGAATGGTGCATGGCACGTGGCACATGCTGCATGGCACATGGCACGTGGCACATGCTGCATGGCGCATGGCACATGGCACATGCTGCATGGTGCATGGCACGTGGCACATGGCACATGATGCATGGCACATGGCACGTGGCACATGCTGCATGGCGCATGGCACATGGCACATGCTGCATGGTGCATGGCACGTGGCACATGGCACATGCTGCATGGTGCATGGCACATGGCACATGGCACATGCTGCATGGCACATGGCACGTGGCACATGCTGCATGGCGCATGGCACATGGCACATGCTGCATGGTGCATGGCACGTGGCACATGGCACATGGCACATGCTGCATGGTGCATGGCACGTGGCACATGGCACATGCTGCATGGCACATGGCACGTGGCACATGCTGCATGGCGCATGGCACATGGCACATGCTGCATGGTGCATGGCACGTGGCACATGGCACATGCTGCATGGCACATGGCACGTGGCACATGCTGCATGGCGCATGGCACATGGCACATGCTGCATGGTGCATGGCACGTGGCACATGGCACATGCTGCATGGTGCATGGCACATGGCACATGGCACATGCTGCATGGCACATGGCACGTGGCACATGCTGCATGGCGCATGGCACATGGCACATGGCACATGCTGCATGGTGCATGGCACGTGGCACATGGCACATGCTGCATGGTGCATGGCACGTGGCACATGCTGCATGGTGCATGGCACATGGCACATGGCACATGCTGCATGGTGCATGGCACGTGGCACATGGCACATGCTGCATGGTGCATGGCACGTGGCACATGCTGCATGGTGCATGGCACATGGCACATGGCACATGCTGCATGGTGCATGGCACGTGGCACATGGCACATGCTGCATGGCACATGGCACGTGGCACATGCTGCATGGCGCATGGCACATGGCACATGGCACATGCTGCATGGTGCATGGCACGTGGCACATGGCACATGGCACGTGCTCCACGGCGCATGGTATATGGTGCATGGAGCATGGCAACGTGGTGCATGGCACATGCCACATGCTGCACGGCGCATGGTGTATAGTGCGTGGCGCATAGCACTGCGTGGCGCATGGCATGGCACACGGCACACATCGTACATACAGGTATTGAAGGTTGAGCAGCGCGCCAAAGAAGTCAGGGAGGGAGCCTGAGAGCTGGTTGGAGCTCAAGTCCCTGGCAACACAGAGGGAGGCGAGAACAATGTTTGAGTTGACTAAAAGAGAAGCTGGTAGGAGCTCGCGCTCCTGAGCATACAGAGCGGCGGGACGAGAAGAGCAGAGGCCTTGGGAGTAAAGTGAGTGGGAGAAATTGGGGGAGAGAGAGGGTTGGGTGAGGTTTGGGAGAAAAGAAGATAAAGAAGTGACGATGGGGCATTGGTAAGAGTGAGGTTGAACAGGTGTTGCTTGGTGCGCAGTGTATGTGAGGCACGCAATGCATGGCGCGTGAGAGGCACACAATGCATGGCAAACGAAAATTCAGGCGCAGCAGTCATGGTATGGCATGCATGACTATGGCTTTCAGCATGGGAGCAAAGAACGGGGAAGCAAGAGGGCGCGTGCATCCACGTCGGCAGTTCAGCGATTTTCGCCTTTTACTCATTCACCTTGCTGCATTGACACTCACATTCCCCGCCCTCAACACTGCTCCTGCTCATAGAGAGTGTTCCTTGAATGGCTCACAGGCGTGTGAGGTAGGTCAAGCGGCTCACAGGCGTGTGAGGTAGGTCAAGCGGCTGATGGCAGATGGGATGCCTCCACTCAACTGCTGCGATGGAAGCGCCCTGCATGGTGGCATGGTGGCATGGTGGCATGGTGGCATGGTGGCATGGTGGCATGGTGGCATGGTGGCATGGTGGCATGGTGGCACGGTGACATGTGGCCATGGTGGCACGGTGCGATGGTGGCATGGGGGAAGTGGTGGGATGGTGGGATGACGTCAACGGGTTTCGCACTCACATGCGCGCATACTACAACACTCACAGGCATGCCCGCACTCACATGCGCACATACTGCAATACTCACACGCATGCCCCACTCACATGCGCACATACTGCAATACTCACACGCATGCCCCACTCAAATGCACTTCACATCACTCTCACATGCACGTTACTCTCCATGAATCCAAGCCACACATGGGTACACGTCACATTCATATGGGTCCACGTCACATTCACATGGGCCCACGTCACACTCACATGGGTCCACGTCACACTCAGATTGATCCCCGTCACACTCACATGGAAGCGACTCGCCCCGACACGTCCTTGCAGGTCAGGCCCCACGCGGTCGCACACACAGCGTTCTTCTGCCACCCCGCGAACTGCTTGCCCCACGCGCCCATTATCTCTGCCAGCGACTTGGCTGGTGTGCGTGGGAAAAGAACAGGGGAAACGAGGAGTGTGTCTCAAGTTGAAGGGGGGCGCACACTACATGAAGCGGCATCACCACTAGCACTGCTCGAAAGCCACCCCGCGAACTGCTTGTTCCACGCGCCCATTCTCTCCGCCAGCCACTTGGGTGCGAACGGAAGAACAGAAGAAAGAAGGAGCATCTATCAAGTTTTGGGTCAACCTAAAGCTCGAGTTATCGCACAAAGAGGAGTATCTACCAATATGAACAGGGTCGTACACTCTGTGACTCTGTACATGAAGCGGCACACCCAGTGCTCAGAAGCCAGCCACCACTGTTCGAAAGTCACTCTGGGAACTGCTTCTTCCATGCGCTCACCACCTCTGCCAGCCATTGGCTGGTGTGGTGTGAGCGAGAAACAAGCAAGATACGAAACGAGCAGAATGCCTCAAGATAGAAGCGGGAGAACGAGGAGTCATGCATAGAACTGACAAACTGTCGGAAGGGGGTATATACACTGTCTGGTATGACTCCTCCCTCGCTTTGAAAGCAACGTGACCACCAATACTCTGCAAGCTTCCAAGAAAGGATTTTTGAGTCTATACGATCTCTCCAGTCTGCGCCGACCATTGTGAGCCATCTGTCGCATCATCGGGTCAAGAGAAGGAAACTGTCGCCCCCTGGACCTGACTTTTGAGTCGACTCAAAAGCAAGTCTGCACCCACCCATTGTGATCCATCTGTCGCGTTGGGTCAAGAGAGGAAACTTTCGTCCCCTTGACCTCTCAAACTATAACATCTCGCTACCCACTGGGTCAAAACGAGGGTTATATTTGAGGCGCAGTGGAATGCCCAACCAGTCCCACAGGCGTTACACTCGTCACGCCCTGGTTGCCTTCGTCCCCGTTGGCCCTCAACTTCAAGGAGTTGCTCCCCTCCTGCTAGGACCTACATTTCGCAGTGCTGCCAGCTGCGACTTCGCTGGTTGCTCAGGCCAGCGGAGGGTCGTTCACTGGGTTTGAGCTGGTAACCACACTTCAATACTCGCCACAGGCGGAAAGCGTGGACCAGCCGGGGCCTGAACCCTAGGCTCTGATTCCAGTATAACATCTCGCTACCCACTCGGTCAAAACGAGGTGCATATGTCAAGCAGAATGCCCATTAACCGGCCCACAGATGTTACACAAACTGTCCCTCCCAGTAATCCTTCTCTTTTGAAACGCTTCATAGCTGAACTTCAAAGCTGAGGACGCCCTCCTCACGCCCTCCTCCTACTCCTCCCAAGCCCTTCATCCCAAGCCCTTTGTCCCAAGCCCGTCGTCCCAAGCCCGTCGTCCCAAGCCCTTCGTCCCAAGCCCTTCGCCCCAAGCCCGTCGTCCCAAGCCCTTCGTCCCAAGCCCTTTCTCCCAAGCGCCCATCACCTCAACCCCCTCCATCGCGCGGCAAGGCGCGCCTCTCACCATCGGCTTCGTGTATCCACGCAGAATGAGTTCTAAGTTGACTCAAAAGTCACCGAACCATTCCTCCCAAACCTCCATCATCTCAACACCCCGGGAGTCCCGTTTAAGGCGCGTCGCTCACCGTCGGCTTCGTGTATCCACGCCGAATCCGCCGCTCTTGCGATTAGCACCCCGCATCCGCCCCCGCCGCCGCCGCCGCCGCCGCCGGCGGTGCGCTGCGGTTGCGCTCCGGGTTGAAGCGCGAGAAGCGCGGCGAGGAGCAGCACGGCTGACATTCGCCGCGCGTCACGGGCACGGCGACGCGGAAGCACGGCGAGGGGGACGGCTGCTGGCCACGACGCGACGCCGCGGAACGCGGGGATTCGTATTGACGGCATGGAGCGGCGCGGCTTTCGAGACGGTGTTAAGAAGTGTTACTACCCACGGACTCCAAAACTACACGTAGCACTATGTTACGGATGGGTGTTTTACGGAGCGAAGGTTTGAAATAGGAGAACTATAAAAGCTTCCGCGGCTCGCTAACGCTGTCAAACGAAAGTTTGTTTCCTAGTAGTTAGATATCCGGGCTGTAGGCTAAAAGGAAGGGAGGGATGTACAAGAGGAAAGGGTCCAATAAAGATACTTCTCTCATTGCAGATTAATGGTGTGCAACGTGACTCCTCCTTCCAAGAGCTCCTGCTGGACTCTAGCTCGCGCTGTCGAAATTATTGGGATGCGGACTTGTCGTGGAAATTATTGGAGGTGAGTGCTTTGCCAAGAAGCAGCTACGTGTAGTTTGGAGGTGAAACGATAAGAACGTATCCGAAAATGTACGTATTCCCTGGAAACCCTTCCCAACCGTGTAAGACTCAAACTAGACCGCTTTAAAACATGTCTATACCTTTTTTAATCGCAAACAGGTGGGTGGTCTACGAGGTCGGTGTCGAGGGCGATGTTTGGCAGCCCAAAGAACACACAAAAGCTGACGAGGCGAGAGCCCCAAGGGATGCGAATTCAACGATCGCGACGACATACTGTAACAAGGTAGTAAGTTCGCATACGTGTCGCATAACGACACACGTGCACTAGAATTTTCGTGGGCAACGAATGGAGACCGCAACGAATGGAAACTCGTTTGACGAGAATGACTTTGGCGAAATCGTCAGCCGAAACAAACGTTGCGTCAGCTTCACACGGGCGAACAGATTCAAACCAAGAACAACAAAACAATGACGAAGGCAAAACAGGCGGAACTAGCACTAGGGTCCCCCGGTGAGGAAACGGCTCGGGTGTGTGGCGAAAGGTATGGCGGTGAATTGGTGTGGTTTGGGGCCGAAAACGTAGGCCGAACCAGCTGACCCGATCACTTTGGGATATATTGAATTTGATGAGCTACAGTTCGAACTATTTATTCGTTACACGTTGGTAAACAGTTTGTTGACATTTGGAAAAAACTTACGTAGTATATTCATTATGCATTTCAGAAAAAATTCAAGTGAGGAAATCATTTCAATGGTTGGAAATAAATGAAATATCAGTAAAATTCAATTCCTTTTTCTAAAATGATATGCGATGCTAGAGAAAATCGGCAACGACATAATGCGAGATGTTGCATATTTATTCGGAAATGGTTGATCCTGGTTTTTTTCAACATGGAACACACACTCACTGCCAATAAGGTTAACTTTACAGCGAGTCTGTACCAGAACACATATAGCTATGCTAGGAGAACATAGATTAGCTCCACTGTTGGAAACAATTAATGTAAGCGCCTCTGTCGTGTCGAAGCACTAAGTCACAAGCGAAGCGAAACATATCGAAGCACCGGCGAGTCAACCCTCGAAGGTTATATTAACTGCTGGAGGTTACGCGAAAGTCAAAGGTCAGCGACCTTTGACCTGACAAGTACAGTGCGACAGCAAGGACACACAACTGACTGGACAGAGCAGTTGCCCGAGTCGTCACTGTATCCTTTCCTAAAAGGAAAGGAGTTCCTCTAACGGCTCCCCCAGCAAAACTCCTACCCCACCATCTGCCTCTGGCCTACAGACAGAGGAAGGTACAGCAACGAGACCAGCAGCGGCGTCTACCGAGACTCCTGCAAACCAACCTGCAGGCTTCGACCCAAGCATGATGGAGAAGTTCTTCTCCTTCATGTCCTTCTACGAGCAACACCAGCAATCGGCACCTGCGCAGTCAAACAACAGCAACAACAACAACGATGTGACTCCCATGAGTCTCGACGGCTCATCATATGCGCGCGGAAATCAACAGCAGCAGCCTACCTTTGCTCCGTACGAGCCCCAGCGCGGCTCCATCAGCTTCACACCACATCCGCAACCTGGACAAGAAAAAACACTGGACGCACTTCAAGTTCAGTCGCAATTCGCGCATGTCCTAAAACTGCAAACCTCAAGGCCTTTCGATGGAAAGGATTTCTTCACCTACATTCGAGTTTGAGCTGATGATGGAAGGCGCGCAAATTCTCGGCTACTTCGACGGGTCCCTGCCATATCCAACACACGGCACATAGTACGACAAGCAGTAGTACACCTATCAGTCAATGATGACGTACACAATCCTACTGAGAAACATCACTCCGAGTCAGCAGCAGAATATACGGTTTTACCGGGGATATGGCAACTCCGCCGAACCCGCCTACAACAACCTGAAGAACCTGTATCAAGCAACAGACAGCGTCAATCAAAGTCGGTTAATGGCGCAATTGACAACGGTCGAAATGAAACCAGGCGAAAAAGGAATGGCATATATCAGTCGCTGTCGCGAATTGCGCGACAAACTCCTTCGATGCGGAGGATCAATCGTCGAAGAAGCCTTCGTAACAGTCGTCATCGGTGGCCTTGGTCGTCAATGGTGCTCCACCCGAGCCATTCTCCGAGCCCACGGGAAGATCTCCGAAGCAGCACTCTGCGCCGAAATTCACGCCGAGCAGCAAGACATGGACCTGCAAGATTAAAGACACAAGAAGAAAACGTCAGTACCCGAGTTCACATTTCACACTCAACGACGCTACTACAACAAAAACAACCGGCATCAACCAAAACCCGTACCTCCGTTTTGTCATATCTGCAAGACGTCAGGGCACCCGCGCACACACTGCCCCAACCGACAGCAGTCCACATCGACGCAGCGGCAACTTCGACCTTCAAGCAGTCAAGTCGCCTCAATACAAGCGAATCCCACCGCTCAAGTACAAGCCTCAATGACATCGACAGGACAACCTGCACAAGGAGCAAGAAACATCATCCGCTGCATGGCAAGATTGACCGACTCCTGCATCACCGAGTCACCACCACATTACTCACCGGAAGAACAGCTCGACAACAGTACGCCCCGCCGCGAGTCACTTCAACCGAACCCAGCATATGCAGCTATCGCCCAAAGCGAGCCGTCCGGAAAGGACACTTGGTTCTTGGACAGTTGCTGCGGGCAGCATATGTGCTCCTCGAGTCGCTTCGTTCAACGGGAATATCAACTTTAACGCGAAGTTGTTATCACCGTCGCCAACAACCAGAACCTGCGCACACGACGACAAGGAGTGGTTCAACTTCAGTCACGAGAGACAAACGTTATCCTGCAGATGTCGAAGGTTTTAATAGCAGAAGGACTCGGCTACAACTTACTCAGTGTTAGCTAACTGATGGCAAAGGGGATACACCTCAAAGCAGACAACACCACGCAAGAATTCAAGCTATACCACGGAAGAGGAGGCCTTTACAGCGGGAAGGCAGTCCTGAAGAACAACGTCTTCGTCCTCGACTTCGTTCCAGACCTCGGCACCGCCGACAGCGATGGAATTGTGACCTTCACCTCCTGGACCCACCCTCTGGATCTTGACCCAGACTTCAGCCCCGGCGGCTTTTGGCCTTCCCACACGATACCTGAGGCAGAGCGAACAAGGGCGTTAGCAACGATTCAACAATCGGCAGCAGCAGAGACAACATCGGCAACAGCAGAGACAACATCGGCAGCAACAGAGACAACATCGGCAGCAGCAGAGACAACATCGGCAGCAGCAGAGACAACATCAGCAGCAGCAGAGACAACATCGGCAGCAGCAGAAGCAACATCAACACCAATCGATAGCCCCTCAACACCATTAGTCTTCATCGACGATTCGCCACCGACATCCGCGCAGCAGCTAACTCCGACTCAACGAGAAGTCCACCGAAGCGCCAACTTCACCGCCGGCTTCTACTCCAACTCCGACATGTATCGGCGCTCACCCGGACATCGCGCCACCGAAGGAACCTGGCACGCAAGAATGGGACATCCAAGCAACACGGTGTTAAATAACACGATAAGAACAGGCGTGCTCGACAAAGACTCTTTACTTCTAACACTCGGCAGAGAACTTCAGCGAGCCCGTGGAACGTGCTTCACTTGTCCCGAAGCAGACTTACCGCATCAGCCGTTCGTCTCACATCACAATCCAAGCGCACCTGCATACGCACAACTGGAAAAGGTGTACAGCGACATACTGTACAACCGCGAGCCCGGACAATTAGCTTATAATTACGTTATCACGTTCATCGACGCTGCAACACGCTACGTCTGGCACTTCAACCTCCCGAGCTGCGAAATGGCACTCGATGCCTTCGCCGCCTAGCTTCCAGCAGCAGAACGAGAATCAGGGGTAAAACTAAAAAGCTTCCAGTCAGACGGGGGAGGAGAATATCAGTCACAAAGATTCAAGGACTACCTGGCAGAACGAGGCATCACGCGCCTCATCTCCCTTCCCTACGCCCACCAACAGCAAGGCGTAGCAGAAAGGATGAACAGAATTGTTGGTGCAACCTACGGTTTGCACTCGGCTTGTTGTCCGTATGCGTGCATGCATGTGTGCATGGAGTGGTATGAGTGCATGGAATAAATATATATTTCATGCTTATAATGGTGTGTGAATGATGGGTCATGATGTCGAGTGTGTGTCAAGTCAATAGCGAATTATCGCTAGTCGCGTGTAACGCGGTCATTTTGTGTGTCCCGCACGGTTTCTATTTTGTCGTGCGCGGTTTCTATTTTGTCGCTTGTCGAACGTTCGGCGTGTCGCAGGTGTGTGCAGCAGACCCATCAAGAACTCAAGGATGAGTTTTGTGATGAAGAACCCGAGCCTTGGTTCAAGCTTCAAGTGTTTTCGAAGCTCGCCAAAAGGCTACACCTCAAGATATTGAAGATAAATACATTACAATGTGTAGTGTAACATTTCTATGGGTGTAGGCCCTTGTGGAGGGTAGTTTCGAGACCCTTCTTGGTTGGAGACAGTGTGGCACTGTTCCCCATCACTGTAGCTCGGTTCTTGGGGTTTGTAGGAGCTGGGAGTCCTTCCCAACTCGCAACTCTTCCTAGTTGTTCGTAATCGTGCTTCTAAGACTAT